TAAGAGATTAGAATACAATGTATGTGTGTGTATATATATATGTATACATACAAAATACTTGTGTGTAAAGTTATAAATTATATAAATTTTTCTCTACTCAACTTTGTGTGACTGTATTTACTCATTAGTTTTATATAAAACTGTGATTTGGAAGTTCATTTAGGAAGATAAATTTAAAATGTGAATTTAATAGGAATGTTAATATATTTGAGAGAGTCTCTTCAATATATATTATAAAATTTTGTTTAATTTCATAATACACTACTTAGTCAAATGTATTAATTTCTATAAGTATATAATTTGCTAATATTAAATATATCAAAAGTGTAATTTTGGTATTACTACCAGAATATTTTACTATCAAATCTATTGGTATAAAAAAGTAATGAATGAACTGAATATGTTTTTATGAAATGATAGAAATCTAGCTGTTTATGCCTGGCATTGCTTGGTCTTGAGGGGGTGGGAGATTGAAGAGGGTGATAAAAACAATGGTTTTGGTAAGTAAAATGTACATTTATTGACCTCAGTATTTACAAGAATTAAACTGTAAAATGCAAAAAAATTGCTAGGGCTAAAGTTACAAGTATTGGGACCTGACATGTTTGCCCTGTAGACTTAACATTGCATCTTTGTCACTTCACCATACCTGAACCATTGCAGCTTTCTCTCTTCACTGGCGTCATCTACAGCAGCAGTCCCCAACCTTTTTATCGCCGAGGACCGGTCAACGTTTGATATTTTACCGCGGCCCACTGAGGGGGGATGTTGATTGTTTATATTTTAGATTGGTTTAATTTAATAATTTTAATTTAATTGTATTTAAACATGCTTTCAAAATAAAATATAGTTACATCAAAAAATGAATATAATGTGAGTTAACATTTTAACTCACTAGAACGTTAAATCAATTGAACCCTGAGCTTGTTTCTTTGCAACAAGACGGTTCCATCTGGGGGTAATAGGAGACAATGACACCCAAAGTGTGTTTCTTATGTCCAGTTTATTCTGTTGTTCTGTTGTCCATTAAAAAGTTGCACAAACCTGAGAGAAACACACCATAGTAAATAAAATGGAAATACCAGTAATTTAATGTCCCTTGGGAGGCCCGGTACCATTTGATTTGCGGCCTGGTACCAGTCTGCGGCCTGGGGATTGGGGACCACTGATCTACAGGATACAGGATCAGAGCTTTAATTTGATACCAGAACCATATTTCTAGCCCAGTCGTTTACTCAAACTAAGTCAGGCAAACTGAAACCTTTTTTCAGTTAATAGATAGATGATTAATTTTGGTAAATCACTCCAAACTGAACACACACTTCACATCAAATTACATAAGCAATTCAAAAAAACAATTATCTCTTGGCATTAAAACTCTTCAATAAAGGTAAAATATGTACAGAAGTACTTTCAATGATGCATTATTATCTTTATTAAAAAGGTTTAATGCTGAAAGAGTTTTTTTTTTTTCTTTTTTTTTTGCTTTGGAGTGATTTCATTAAAAAGATATTTATCTTGAAATATCAGTGTTCTTTTTAAACCAAATTTTCTAATTTTCTTTCAGAATAAACTGTTACAATATTTTTTTATCTTTACTGATATTGTTAGAAATTTATATCTTAACTAAATTAACATACAGTAAAATTTTCAATATCATTTTCCTTTATCGGTTGTCTCTAGAGTGCATTAATTGTCTGAAAAGTCATACAATAGTAACAAAATGATTGTATAATTTTGGCTAAATTTTGCAACTGTTTTTCTTGCACCTTCACACTCTTCTGGTTGTTACATTTCACATTGTTCATCTCTTAAAAATTGAATAAGGAGGAATAAGTATATTATGCTGTTACTATTGTATGACTTTTCAGACAATGCACTCTAGAGACAAAAAATGCATCAAATGGTTCAAAATGTAAAAAGAAGAATATTTAAAAGGAACGTGCTCAGCAAAATAATAATTAATAACCAAACACCTTTATTGTTGCCAAAAAAATTTAATTAAAACAAAACCATAGGCCATCTTCAGGTTTAAAATGGACAATTGGAAGATGTTTTAAACCTGAAGATGGCCTATGGAATAGGTCGAAAACATTTGTTTTAATTAAATTTTCTCGGCAATGATAAAGGTGTTTGGTTATTAATGAAAGAAGCATATGCAACAAAATTCTATTTTAGCATAAAAACAGATGACTGATTATATTAAAAATTAAACTTGAATATATATCTGATTTGTTTTATGATACTTGTTTATTTTACATTGTGCATTTATGCTAGAAATACATATAATGCATGTCTTTAATGTTTTGCTACTTGTTTTGTTAAATGAGAGATGATATAGAGTTTATTATTAACAGAATGAGAGGTAGAAGAGTATAGGATATGTGAAAGTGAGCTAAAACAATAATGTTAATGAAGGGATCATATTGAAATGCTTTTCTGTGTAGAAAAATTGGTGGTGGCATATGATTATTATACATTTGGAAGATAAATCTGTGTTCTACATGTGAAAAAAATAGATGAAAGTGCTTTCATTTTTGAATTTAAATTTTCTCTGCATTATTGTTATCAAGAATGCATACTCTGAACTCGTAGGCCTAATCAAGTTGAGTCTTTGCTTGTATTTAGATAATGTGTATTAATGTATTCCTGATGATAATGATTTTTATAAATTTCATATCCAAATTAAAAGAGGGTAATTAGGGATATCAAATCATATGCTTCTGAAGTATTTAAAAGCAAGACTTTCTTGTTTCTAACTAATTGACAGATATTTTGTAAGGATAAACTATATACACTAGTGTGTATATATATATATGTATGTATATATATATATATATAAATAAATAAATATCATATTATTTTCTTTAATTCTAAAGCAATTAAAATTTATAATTAAATTATTTATTAATTATAACTAAATATTTTACTTGTTTATTTTTCAGGACATGTACCTTTTTTAAAATGTGGAGCTTTTGTCATTTCTGAAATAGATCCTATTATAGCATTTGTAAATACAAAGGTAAGAGATTAGACAGAATTATATAGATCAATATGTAGCTAATATAACTTCATGCAGTAAATAAACAAACACACCATAAATAAAAAATCCAGCAGCAAAAGAATACTTTAGTATCAGTGGCATGCAGTGACATTTGATGATAGGGAAGCTATGCCGCCCTTGGATAAGATAAGATAAGTATAAAGTTAAGTAGAGGGCTGTCTGTTCAAGACAGACTTAGCCCTATAGTAAGGAAAAGAAGTAAGAAGAAAAGTGAAAGTAACTAGATTAAGAAAAAAGGAGGGGAAGGAAGGCAAGGGTAGGGATCCATGGGTGTTGGCACTGCATTTATTAAAAACAGAAATAGATACATAAATTGGCTACATTGCCTAATACAGATTACAGTAGTTACATAGTAATTGATCCCAATATGTTTATAGAAAACAAATGGTTACAATAGTTTATACAATAATCAGATTACAGAATAAACAAAAAAAAATTTTTTTAGTAGTTTTACAGAAAACAGCAACTTGGTTACATGGCTAAAAGATAAAGTATTAACCTTAATTATCAATTTACATTTTAAATACAAATATTAAAACAAAAGGTTATCATGGTTACTATTTCTTATAAAAATATAGAATTTTCAAAGATGAATTTACTATTTTAAATACAGACAAAATGGCTACAGTGGCTAATAACAATGTGAGCATTACAAAATGGGCAATTACATTACAAAAGTGAAAATAAGTGGCTACAATGCCTAACAGAGAAACAGTATTTACATGGTGGTCTGTTCATTTCAGAGTTCATATTTGCTATTGGTGAAACTTTCATCACTGATATCCTTGCTTGTATTGTCCTCAGAATCAGGTAGGTTATTCCTGGTCTGTGATTGTTCACTGCTTTGCAAAGGGATTGCTAGTTTTCCGATGTTTTTGATGAATTCGGTAAGATGATGCAAGAGGTCCTTGTTGTTGAATACGTCATTTTCCTGTGGAGGCCAAGTCATCCCCTGCATTATGCATTCCCTGTAAAGCTGCTGCTATTTATCTTCATAGTTAGTGCAGTAGTATAGGAAATGTGTTACGTTGTCTTCAATGATGTTGGTCTCACATGTGTTTGTTGTTGCCTTACTGAATCTGAAAAGAGACGACCCAAAGTTTCCATGCCCAGTGAACCACTGGATGATTTCATGGTTTAGTTTAAATGTTGCAATTTTGACAGGGTGAATTTCGTGGAGTCTTGTACACTGGTATGTACAGCAAGAGCTAACTTCTGGAGGTGTAGGTCCCAATCCCTATGGTTTTTCTTCACGTATGCCGCTATCATTCTGCCTAAGGTTCTATTTACTCGCTCCATGAAGTTTGACTGTGGGTGATAAGGTGTAGTTGATATGTGATTTATGGCTAGTTTTTCACATACTTCACTCATAAGTCTTGAGATGAATTGGGGTCCATTATCAGATAATAGATTTTTCGGCATGCCATATCTGCAACAAAATTCATTAACAAAGCAATTCACAACAGTAGGTGCTGTAATATCTTTTAGTGGGAATAATTCCACCCATTTGCTAAAGTAATCTACTATTACGAGCATATAGGCATTACCTCTTTTGGATCTAGGATAAGGTCCTACTATGTCAATACCTACTTTCTCTTCTGGTTTGGAAATTTTTGTACTTTGCAGGAACCCTGCAGGTTTTTGTTGTATCCATTTGGTTGTCTGGCATGTGTGGCAGCTGGCTACATATCGTTTAATCTCTTTATTCATCCCGGGCCAATAACATCTTTGCCTGATTTTCTTGACTGTTTTTCTTGAGCCCAGGTTGACCTGCTGTCGGATGATCATGTAATTCGTTTAATACTGCAGACCTTAGTGTCTCTGGAATTACTGGTCGCGGACATTCGCTGTTGTTCTTCCTATGATGGTAATATAATAAATTATCAATGATTTCATAGTGTCATGACTTACCGATTAATTCTGATGCCGGTCTCGGATCTGTGGGTAGGTCACCCTCCTGCAAGTATTTGTATAACTCTTTCCATTCAGCGTCATTTCGCTGAGCCTGGATTATTTCATCTCTATTAGTGATAAGATGGTTAGTAACTTGGTAGTAATATCAGTTTCCTTTACACTGTCAGTTTCGAGTGGTAATCGAGATAAAACATCTGGAAGCTGGTTATCTTTGCCACCCCTGTGTCTGATAGAAAAGTTAAATTCTTGTAAGCATAATGCCCATCTCATTAGCCTACCTGAAAGGTTTTTCGAACTCTGTAGCCATTGCAGAGCAGCGTGATCGGTAACCACTGTGAAGTCCATCCCATCGAGGAATTCTCAGAACTTTTCCACAGCCCAAACGATGGCTAGGCATTCCAATTCGGTCGTTGTGTAATTTCTCTCAGCTTTCTGGAGGGTTTGGCTTGCGTAGGCTATGGGGCGGTCTTGACAGAGGACGGCCCCTAGTCCTACTGTGCTGGCATTGGTGTAGAGTACAAATGGGACATTGGGTTCAGGTAGCTGTAAAACAGGAGCAGTTATGAGGTGCTCTTTTAATAACTGAAAAGATTTCTCACAGTCAGGACTCCATTTGATCAGAAGTCCATTTGATCTGTTTTTGTCGTAGACAGTACAGTGGTTCAGCTATAGTTGCATAATGCAGAATAAAGCAGCTGTACCAACTACACATAACTAAAAAGGTGCTTAGCTGCTTTGTGTTGTTGGGACGTGGGAATTTTCTGACGGCTTCCACCTTACCTTGGTCTGTAGACAACCCTTTTTCAGTTACATGGAACCCTAAATAATGTACATCTGGTCGGCAAAAATGACTTTTGGTTAATTTGATTGTCAGGCCTGCCTCTGACAGTCTCCACAAAACGTCCTCAAGGTGTCGAAGGTGGTCTGAAAAGATAGAAGAGTAGATAATTTTGTCATCTAAATATACCTCGCAATATTGGGATCTTATTCCATTCAGGACTCTATTCATCAGGTGTTGAAAAGTTGCAGGTACATTTTTCAAGCCGAATGGCATTACTAAAACTCGTAGAGACCTTTGCTAGTAATGAAGCTTGTCTTGGCCCTATCGTTCTTCTTTACTGGTACTTGCCAATACCCTGACGACAAATCCAGTGTAGTAATGAATTTGGCCTTTTTTAGTGAATTCAACAAGTCTAAAATGACAGGCAAAGGAAATTTATTGGTTACCATTATACAATTTAACTTACGATAATCAACACACAGTCTCCAGTCTCCTGTCTTCTTCTTTACCATCACAACAGGGGAAGCCCATGGCGAATTGGAAGTCTGATTATCCCTTCTTTTAGCATTTCAGTGATTTGCCTTTGCATTTCTTTCTGCTTTACAGACGAATACCTATACGGTCTGCTCGAAACTGGTGGAGAATTCTCAGTCTCGATGGCATGTTCTATGTAATTCATGAGTCCAGGTTTGTCACTAAAAATATGTAAAAAGTTATTCAAAACAATTTTTAGTTTTGTTAAATTCTCTCCTTTTAATGGAGTCTGTAATTCCTTTAAGTCGCCTTTAACACTTACCCCAGTATCTGGGATAGCAATTTCCATTTCTAAGTTACAAAAATTTAACGATACCTTATATTTTTGTGGAAGTCTTTTCCAAGCAGGCATGGGAGTATGAGTCTGTTGATCACAACGAGTTCATGGGGTAATACGGTACCATTTAATCGAAGCTTGGCCATAAATACGCCCTTTGTTTTATAGTATCTGCCCTCTATGGCTAATTTAATGTCAGGGCCTGGATGAAGAATCATCCCCAGGGATTTTCGAATAATTTGGCACCACATGTCTGAACTGATTACTGAATGGTCTGCACCTGTGTCAATTCTAGCATTAGTCATTAGGTCGTTAATAAATAAGGTTAGTTCTGATAAGTTTGTTTTAGTTTTCAGTATTAGCCCCAGTTGAGAGGGTTTTTCGTACCTCGAGGACAAAGCCTCCCTTCTTGGCCTTGGTATTAGTTTAACTTCTGGGTTCCCCTCTTACCTTGGACCCTTATAGGTTAGACGTTTTTGGAACAGTCTGGTGTCCCAGTCGCTCGTTTTCGGGGCAGTTCCTTGAATAATGCCCAGTAATTCCACAAGTATAACATCGTACAGGAAATCTTTGGGTCATCTGAGGCCCTCTTTCTGCACTAGGAGATTGAGTCAGTGTGCGTTCAGGCAAACTTTGTCTCAAATGATCCATTTGTTCAACAGATTGGTGGCTGGTCTGTTTTCTCCGAAATTTGTATTCCTTGGCAGTTAACTAATTCATTAAGAGAATAACAATGTCTAACTTCTAGATACTCACGTAAATTTAAAGGCATTTGAGCCATTATGCAGTGGATGATCTCTTCGTCCCTGGCGAGGGGTTTCCACGTACGGTACAGCTGAACAGTGTCCCAAATGTACCGTTCAACATCAGACATACCATCATATGTTTGGCTGAATAATTTCTTTGCTAGAGCGACTTCGTCTGTAAGAGGAGAATACAATTCTTTAAGTAAATGAGAAAAGAGAGGCCAGCTATTACCTACTCATTTCCTTTCATCGTTCCTCCACCATTTAGCTGGAGGACCTTCTAATAAGAAGGCAGCTGTATTGACCCAACGATTAGGTGAGACTTGATTAACAAAAAAATATTGTTCCAGATCCTGGATAAAGTCGTCCACTAGATACTCAGATGTCCCGTTAAATGTTTTAGATGGTGCAAGTTGGACATTGACAATCACCACAGAGGAATTTGGTGTAACTGGTTGGTGAGGGGTAGATGCACCGGTTGGTGGCATATTAGGAATGCTATCCTCCGGATTGGTTCAGCTCCACCTGCTTAAAAGATAAGACAGAAGCGATACTTGCCATACTTTGAGTCAGTGCAGAAACTTGCTGCAATAACGTTGTCAACTGGTGTTGCAAAGTCCGGAACTCCTCACGAGTAATAGTATCTTCTCCAGACCTTTATGTTCTTCCACGCAAAACAATTACGCCACGGCTCAATCTAAAACCTGGAAATTTTCTTTTGACCAATAAAGATCCCTGTTCGGACACCAGTTATGTAATGTACCGTTTACGAAAACAAAACAGAACGGGGTTACACAACATAAGGGTTTAAGTACCAGGCCTGGACTTGTCAAATTAAAACAATAATTTTTAAAACCACAGATAATAATTCACAATAAATATAAGTTTTATTATATTGAAAAAAAATAATGTTAATTAATAGTGTTTTTAGTGATGATGAAGAAAACATTGTTTAATTTATATTAATATGTATCACTTAAAAAAATTTTACTGAAGATATTTATCTTAATTATGAAAATATACTAGCATGATTTTTAATTTTTGGAACCTAACCCTCCTTTTCGTATTAGTTCTTTGTTTCGTATAACACGGATTTGCATAACACAGCAATTTTTTGGAACGTAACTACCGTGTTATACGGGGTTACCTGTACAAGTATATTCATACAACCAATAAGTTGAAAAATAAATCAATACAAATATATTCAATATAAAAATATATCAATACAAAACTTTTATATTGTATCAATTTATTTTTCCACTTATTGGTTGTATGAGTAGCTTTGTATTTATTCATTCCCTCCAAAAGTTGTGAATTGGATGTAATTTGAATTTTTAAACTATGCAAATTCTTTTCGGAATGTTCTTTCAAATGTTAAAAGGAACATTCTCTTCTTGAAAGTGTAGCCTGATGAAAGCCTCTAAAAAAGGCTGAAAATGTTTTGGTTGAATTTAAATTGGTTACTGGAAGAGGTGTGTAAATATGACTGTTTAATCTTAAATTTCAGTTTGGTTTATTGTATTTGACAAATAGTCTTATCATTCTTATATATATGTGCTTTATTTTGGAAGTGAAAATATTCAATGAATAAATGAATTTTTGTTATTTCTAATAGAACATTTATGAAATACTCTAATAAAATATATTTTAGCTGTATTTTCATTCAGAACATTCTAAGAGCTTAGAATGTTATATATTACATCTGGCCAACCCAAATTGTTCTATGGACGATAGTTACATAGGAGGAAGAGAAACATCTCAGTCTACCGTTTTTAATAGAAAATAAAACATGGTAACATGACATGTTGTCTCTGTCTCTATATTCTGTTCCTTGTCAGAAACATTTTGCACTGGCAACCATAAGATGCTACATGGCAAAGTGGGTCATTAAAAGAAACATTCTTCTGATGACCATAATTATATTTAAAGCTTTATACACATGGTTGGCATTTGTTCAGATTGTGATAGTTTATTGAAATTATTAATGGTGACAATGATGCCCCTATTTTAATCATGTGAAACAAACATTACATTTCTGAATATTTAATCAAACATAGCGTAAGAATCGTCGGAGGGCTTCAAAAAAAGGCCAATGGACCATGGATTGTTTTTATTTTAATGTATCAAATTTTTTAATCATTTTATCAATTATCATTTAAGAATGAATCACTAAAATAAGCATAACAAATTTTCCTCAAAAAAATATATCAAAATACAGTTTTTAAAATTTAATTTTTATTATAATATGGTAACTAAGAAAACTGCTACATTCTGAGTTAATTCAGGCCAAATATAATTAAATTTGTGAAAATTAAAAAAATTAAGAAATTATACTTTTGATTTAACTAATTTAAAATGTTAAATAGATAAATCTAATCTATACAGGAAGGTTTTGCTGAAATTTATTTATATTTTTTATATTTCGTAGGGTATTCATCTGAGTCAACATCTCGACGGTGCTCAAAAAGCAGATATGAGAGCGTATATGGCTTTGATTAATGTTGTTCTTGGTAATGCAGAAGTATGTTTATATTAAGTTGCATATATAAATCTTGATTTTTATTGAAATATAACTATCACAGTTTAATGAAGTTTAACTAAAAGAATTTTTATTTTTTCATTTAGGTATAAAAATAAATTTTTAAGGTTTTTTTTATCAATTGAATATCATAAAATATAATAATATATTTTTATAAGAATCTGAATATAATGCATTTTTGAAACATTTTAGTGCTTTCTTGAAAATACTTACACAGTTTGGATGGAAAACTATTTGTCAGGATTGCATAACTATCAAAATTTACATAGGCCATTGTGTAAAGTTTGATATTTATGTAATTTAACAATAACATAAATTGTTTTATTGTTGTTAAATTAAGGACTATTTGTAAAGCATCTCTTTAATTTTTTCAAAAGTTTGGAAGTAAGAATTAATCTCTCAAAACTTCATTCATAAAAGTAACAATGTGAGGTTTTGCAGTTGATGTATGTGAACCTCAATGTTATATAACAGTGGTTCTCAACCTTTTTTGTTGATGTACCCTATTAGCCCATTAGTTGTTTTTCAAGTACCCCTTACATTTTTGTATGTAAATTTTATAATTACTGCATTAGATGTATACAGCCCTTATAACTGAGCGCCATAAAAAAACTCTAACTAACTAACTATAACTAAAAGTGAATTACTTATTTCATGTAAATAATAATAAATTTAATCAGGTATATACATTTATTTATTATTATTTAATAAGTATATTATATAAAATCACAGAAGTCATTTCAATACATGTATAAATTACATTTCCTAAAAATAAATAATTATAATTAACGATAAAGAAAATTTAAATTATTTTACAATAATTTCTAACAAAATTTAATGGGATATTCGTTGCAATAAATCTTCAGCAATTTTTTCAAAATTTGGTTCCCACGTTGTTAAATAGAGATTATAATTGTGTACTGACCTTGAAAGTAATGGCTGCGAATTTATAACGTGCAGAACAATACATGAATCTTTCAATTTTTGTAACAAATGTAACGTCTAAATTTGCTAAATATCAAGTAATGCGCGCATGCAGTGACACGCATTGCATTGAGGGTATGATCCAGGCCTTGTTATTCCTAATACCAGTAGTCCAGTAAAAACATGAAAAGCCCCAATCTTATCAAGCAATAATTATAGAATAGAAAAAATTTTTTTTTCTATTCTAAAATTAATGATTGGTTAATCGTAATTTTACTAGACTACAGGTTCACTCGGCACTAACGGCACAAATAGACAGGCAAATCAAGTGGATAAACAAGTTGTTTAGACTGTTAAAAGGGAAATCACTGTTCACACTGGGATATTTTAAAGCAAGTTTTTGTTGTTTCTTGTGTTAATAATTTATAGCAAATTGATTAACACACACCATTTTATAATGAAAGTTAGATGTACCCCTTCAATTTATGCTCGTACCCCTAGGGGTACATTTACCCCCAGTTGAGAACCGCTGTTATATAATGACATGCCCTGATAGAAAATCAGTGTCACAGGTCTCAATGGAGAGTGACAATGTTCAATTATATTGCATAAACATATTTATTTATCCACATAATTTTGTGAGAATCCGGGGGTTAGAGGTTAATGATCTAACCCTTTTTCTGGCATCGTACTCGTGAAGTCTGCTCATTTGGTCACTGGATGGAAAATTTTCTGTATGAGGTGGGAAAATTGTATAATTTTCCTCTTCTGTCAAATTTACGCATCTTAACTTGTGATTTGATCATCTAATATCTAAGTGCAGGGCCCAATCGAGCAGTGGAGTCCTGAGTAAATTGACAGGGTCCAGACAGGTTAACAAATAACAAAAGCTTAATGAATCAAAATAACGTAAGGTTATTTTGTACAAAAGTATACACTACAAAAGGATAAATATATCTAAATTGACAAATTAGTTACTTATATGTAAGGCAACCAAGAGAGAGAGAGTTTACAGAAATTATTTGAGTATAATACCTTCATATAATCATCATGATATTACTGGTATAGAATTCAATAAATAAATAAGCAATTACCTATAACCAGCATTAATTCTGTATATAAAAACGTTCGTTTATAAGAGAACTAGCTGTTACCCGCGACTTCGCCACTGAGGTTTTGCAAACAAACCCCATTTATATTCAGTATTTCAACAACCATAGTAATTGTTATATAACACCTACTGCCGAGAATGATGAGAATTGCTGAAAATCAAATGAACTATTTTCAATTTGATCAATTTTCTGGATCGTTTACAATCATTCTATAATTGTTCTATAATTTAAAAAGGTTTGAACATTTGGTTAAAAAATCGAAATATATAAAAATATTTATAACAATGTCTGAAATGTTATTAATTTAATACACTTAAGTACTTAATGAAGACTAAACGTAACAAAAAATCACACATAAAATAGTACAGTAGAAGCCATTTTTCCGGTTAAGCCTTAATCCTCCCCCCGCGGGGAAATTTCGAAAAATCCCTTCTTAGTGAGCGTTTTCATGATGTACCCTAACTGTGTACCAAATTTCACCTCTTTAGGTTCAGCAGTTTGCTCTGGGCGATGATGAATCAGTGAGTGAATGAGTCAGTCAGGACAAGCAATTTTATATATATAGATTAATGCTGGTTATAGGTAATTGCTTATTTATTTATTGTATAATATCTTCAACTTGTCCCAATGTCTTCTTGGTTGGGGATCCTTTCAGTTGGAGAAGATGGGAGACGAGAGCTGGCGAGACAAGCTTTGGTCCACTCTTTGAGGTGTGTTTGCTCTGAATCGTGGGTGCAAGCCTGTTATATCCCCATTGGGTGTGGGAATTTGATCAGGTGATTTACGTTGTTATTATAATAATTTCAAGATGTGTCATTGGCTCAGTCGATGAAGGCTATAAGAAATTGACAACTCTGCTGGATTGTTGATGTTCTCTGCAAGGTTAGGTGACTCTTATTACCATATAATTTAAACAATGTGAATGCTCCAACACATCAACAATTAAGTGTTGGGATTTATCTTAGAACCTTTCCCAAAACAAAGGAAGTGAAATTGTTGATCTTGCTAGGATATTTGATCATCTCTTGTTTATCTGACCTGGGGAAGACGGAAATGCCAGGTGGAGATCTGGGTTTTTCCCATGTTATAATTAATCTAATTACTTAATTGCCTCCAGAATCTCACAATTTCAACAGGAATGCAGAATATTTTTAGGACACAAAATTTTCCCTAGAATTATTGCACACTTATTGCACACAAAATAAAACAATTTGCTAACCAATTAATAATTATTGCTACATAGTTTGAAAATTCAAATTAAATCATACAAATAATTAAATAGACCTCTTGTATAATTTGCCAAGTTACACAAAATTGATAAATGATTGTAAAACATTTTAAAATTAAAAGAATGCTTTAATTTAAGCACCTGCCATCATTATAGGATAACATATACAAATCAAATTTGATGTGATATGTCAACTGATAGAAATAAAATTGAAGTCATCACCAACACCATGAATGAACTATTTTTAACACAGTGCCAATGGACTTTTTGATGTCCAAAAATGCAAAATTTATTTATGACTGATGTTTGTGCAGTTTTTTCTGAAAAATGATTTAAGAAATGTATTGATTTTTTGCAAAAAGCTAAACTTTTTGAGTTCTTGACTAACTTTTTCATTATTATTTATTTTTAATTTTATTTATTTGAAAAGGTGGTTATATTTTTTATAATGATTTAAAACGATAATATTTTTTATTTTATAATAAATATACAAAAAATATGAAGGAATTATCTGGATATGAAGGAAAATAATGCTTATAAAATGATAAAATTTCAATGTAGCTATTTAATGGAGATAATTCAGAAAAATCATTTAAATGCAGTTTATTAATTTGCAACTTTTCTGTCTGAATGTAGTTGTGTTCTGTGTCTTCTGCAGACTGTATCTTCAATTTCAGTTTTTAATTTTAAATATAATAAACTTAATTTTGTCCATCGACTCTTAATTGATTCCTGTAGCTTAGTGATGCTTCAGCTAAATCAACTGACCCCTAGGGGGTTGCTAGTGAACAGATTTGTAATCCTGCTCTAGGTGATCAGTAACCATTTAAAAGTAACAACAATTTGAGAAAGAATTTATGAACATGCACTTTTAAAAAAGTGTTCTATGATTAATGAATTTATTTTAAGGAGCAAAATGTTGAGTTTTGGCTCTTTTAAATCATAAAAATAAAATTTAAACATTATATTAATTATAGAGTAGAATTTTAAAATCAGTTATATTTTTGTAATAAATAAAGGCATTTTTATTTATTTCAGTTGTATGTAAGTTGGTGCCACAATGCTACTGTAAATGAGGTAAGATTTACATAGATTTTTTTTTCCAAAATTAGCTTTTATATAAAATGTTATATGTTGCTAGACAATAAATATAAAGTGTGATAAATATAAACAGATGATAAAGTTTAGTGAAAGAGGAGTAGTTAGTGTGACTTACACAACACTTTTATGAGTTGTTGTAGATTTAATATACAAACACCTTTCAACCAATATAGATCTAGTTTTTATATAGGATGTTATATATAACTAGACAATAAATATAAATGGTTTTTCATAAACAACTATATGCATTTTGTCTACTTATGCTACTCTACAATGTATTCATACTTTGATTATTGCTTAAAAACGTATATATGTTTACTAATTAGTAGTATATTAAATTCAATCATTTGCAGAATTTCATTAATTTCTTTCTTATAAAGTTCAGATGCATTACTGTGTAATTTATGAATATATAACTTAATTTAAATTGTTGTCAGATTAAATTTGAAATTTTATTTAAATTTGGAGATAATTTTTCTTAATAAATTAAGTAGTTAAAACACATGAAAAAGTTAACAAGTGACTTGGATTTTGTACCTGTCCAGAACACAATACAGTAATACCTCAACTTATGCTATCCCGATTTACACAAACCCGGAGTTATGCGATTTTCAAATCTCATCAATTCGTCTTTTGTTTGAGTGCCATGCAACTTATGATTATTCACTCCCCCCACACTATTGTTCAGTTTACATGTTTGGACGTGTCATGCGGAATCGATGCATAGTTACAATTTATTTTGTGTTATTTATTTCTGTGTTTGTTATATCTATGGAGACTTCAGAGACTCTATGTGGTGATTTCTTGTAACCGTGAACGAATCAAAAGACGAAATAAGATTAACGAGAACATTTATTAGTTTACAAAAATCCGACTTACATTTTACACAAATTGCAAAATTATACCCCGACTTACGCAAATTCGACTTACGCGGTTATCGCTTGGTTCCACCTATCACATAAGTTTGGGGTATTACTGTATATTACATTCCAAATATTTTATAACAAAAATATATATATTGGTTTTTTAAAAATAGCTACAGTAGAGCGTTGATTATCTGAAAGAATTCCAGTCGGCAAATTTAAATTTTCGCCAGCACTGGGGCGCTGCAATCTTTGGTTATGTCTTGGGCTACTCAAATATTTTATGTTTTTGATACTAAATTAACTTCTGAAGTATAATTNTGCAATCTTTGGCTATGTCTTGGGCTACTCAAATATTTTATGTTTTTGATACTAAATTAACTTCTGAAGTATAATTTTTTATTGTTTTTATATTTTTCAATATATTTATTTTGTTTGTACAAAATAAAAAAATAATTTTTAACGATACAATAGTCTTTGTTAGGCTTAACACCGACAAAAATTCAACGCGAAGCGACATGCAACGGAGAAAAATTTCAACATGGGATAAATTAATATATTTTTTTGTACATAATTGGTTATCCGAAATATCGATTTTCTGAACAACCCCAATCCCCAATTGATTCGGATAATCGATGCTCTACTGTATGTATAAAGTCTAATTAACTTATTATTTCTTCAAATAGTTTTGAGTTTTAAGGCATATTTATATTTACAGTAACTAGCAAGTGAATATGAAACTGGGAAACAAGCATCAAAATGTCAATATATTTATATGTGAAGTGAGCAAATAGATCACAAGTCTTCTATGTGAGCATAAAATTGCTATAATGGACTCAGGAAAAAACAGCAAAATGGTGTAACAAAGGCTTTAATTGAACAGAATATTGCGTTTTGGGTATTATATCTCTCTTTAATTCTGTTTATGGCGTATCTGATAGTACAAAACATAGACTTAAATTATGCTATTTTAATAGTTTTATACATTTAGAACAATATGATATAACAACAATTATAATTAGAAGACTATAATCTTATGAAGTGATAATTACCTGATATTTAAAATGATAAATTGTTTGCTATTTTAAAGTCTTGCGGAATAACATGTTTACTTATATATATATATATATATATGTTAGGCTCAAAGACCAAAATCGCTCATTGAGAGAAAAAAAATGACCACAACACGTTGTGGCTAACTCAAAATGACCACAAAGTGAAATTTGCATTGTGGCTTTCATGATATTTGACCACTACACATTGTAGTGATTAAGAAAAGCCATAACGCATTCTGAACGTTAGCTGATGCAACCACGATACGAAGGATAGGTTGTAACTTGTCAATGGGCACATTGTAAACACTTGCGGAGTTTGTATTGTGTTCATCCTTGACCAGTGCTGCCATTTCTAGGGTAATTACCCTTTTCTAGAATAATTTCAACCTCTCAGAGTAATATTTCGGTAGTCTTATATTTAGGGTAAATCTAGGGTAAAACTACCCTGTGTTCTGATGCTATTATTTATCACTCCACAAGTTTTGCTGGAAAAAGTTTTAGCCTAAAATCATTGTTTTTCCTTATAACTGGAGGGTTTTAGGATAGGACAACAGAAGCTAAAGAAATAATGCAGATTGATGCTAGGTACATGGGTGTACACTGTACAGTGATACTTTGGTTTTCGTTGATAATCCATTCGAAAACAATTGGTGAAATCTGAAACCGATGATAACTGAAGTCATTGAAAACCGAGGTATTACTGTATATTACACCCGAGTAGGATTTCACTTTTCTCAACCTTCATGCCATTGAGCCATTGGCACTCTCCATATCAGATGTAAATTAATACCTCTGATAAAGCCTAAAAATCCTAAGACATTTTAGTTACTAAAATTTTCAAAAACAGTAAGAATTGTTCTGATTATTAATTCACAATAATAGTACAGGGATCTGTGTCAAAGAATCGTTCATCTTTTTTTTATTCGAGCTTGAGCTCGAGCTTGGAGAGTTTTCTCAACTTAGGGTAATTTTCTGCAGTTGAAACTGGTTTGATTGTTTTAGTTGGGGTGTCTAATGTTAATAGGGGACATGCAGCTCCCAGAAATGTTTTAGTAGTAGTAATGAGCATTAATCCATCAGTCTCTATCAGTTAGAAAACAAGTCTTCTTAATCGACTTTATGCTCGTAATGAGTTTACAATTTCTACAGTAACTTTATTAACATTCAGAATGCACCCTCAACTTTATTAACACTTTGCTCAGCATCCATGTTAACATCTGGAAGTAGCAAGAGTTTATAATGTGTCACTGTAAAAGATATTGTATTGATAAAAATGCAAATGTTGCTCAAAGAACATAAAATGCATGAATAATTAAATGTTGTTGTAAAGTAACCAAGTTGAATTTCTGTATATGGTGAATAAGTTTGTTACCTGCGTATATAAGATGATTGAAGATAAGTAAATCATAATGAAAAAGAAAGTTTTATTTTCTTATCTCTCATTACTAGTTAACATTCAGAACGTGTGGTGGCTTTTAACCATAATAAATCTGTCGCATAGTGGTTTTTAACTTTAGCAACTGATTTTTATTTTATCGTGTATAGCAAGGGTGGGCAACCTTTTTTATAACATGGGCCAGAATAAATTTTACGTTTTTTCCGCGGGCCATAGTAGTTAATTGACACCTTGTGACCTGTAAATTTTTAGTCTGCAAATATGAAATAAATAAATAAATAAATAAAAAGAAATTAATTACTACAGTCGACCCCCCTATAACACTGTTGATTATTCCGTTTTATATGAATTCCATGTTGTATGAGTCACTTAGATTTTACAAATGCGTGTGCCGGGCTGTGAACGGCTCACCTATTTGTAAAATCTAAGTGACTTTAAACACAATAAAAACAGCACTATGTAGTTGGATACGACAGACATTACATTTTCTAATTGCATAGCTTTTGCACATAGATTTTCTTGATGGATGATGCGATGAGATATAAATAATTTAGAAAAATTCTGTTCTCCCATTTTTTGTTTGAATAAGGAAATGACTCCCTTATTTTTTCCTGTCATTGCTGCCACAACACTTCAGAAAATAATATTCAATTTAAACTAGACGAATTACATCGGAAAATATTTATTTATAATTTCTTCTAAACATCTCGCGGGCTGGATAGAAACTTTTCGCAGGCCAGCTACGGCCCGCGGGCCGGGGGTTGCCCACCGTTGGTGTATAGTATATCAAGTACCTACAAGTATATGTAATTAGACCTTTAGCACTTTTTAGCAAAACAAACTAAACAAATGTGTATTTTTCTCCATATATTTTATTTCTTTGAAATTTTTTTAAGTATGAAAATTAAATTTCTAGGAAAATTTGTAGAACTAATGTTGTTCAGCATTAAAAATTGTAAATGAAAATGTTTTGAGCCTATAATACATATTTTAAAGTTACAAACCACTGTGCGTCGTATGATCCTGTATCGTGGTTGCATCAGCTAACACCCAGAATGCGTTATGGCTTTTCTTAATCACCATAATGCGTAGTGGTCAAATATCATGAAAGCCATGATGCAAATTTCGCTTTGTGGCCATTTTGAAATGACCACAACGTGTTGTGGTTGTTGTTTTTTTTGCTCAATGAGTGATTTTGATCTTTGAGCATAACATACACACATATATATACATTCCATCCAACAATAATAGAACATCTTGACTTCCAACTTTTTATTATTTTCATGTATCTTTAATGAAATTTTCTAGTACTGTACATCTTATAGTAAGAGATAATAATTATTGCACTAATTTGGAGAAAAATGATTAATAAACAAAAGAGCTAGGTACTATTAGCAAAAATAGAATGTCCAACATTAATAGAACATCTTGACTTATGATATCTTTAATTTAAAGTTAGTAGCTGGTTTTGCTACCATTTTTGGAAATAAGCTGAAAAATATGATTAGACATTGAATTAATCAAAGATTGCATTTGTTCTTGTGGAATATTGTCCCATGCTTCAATGAGATCAGTCTTTAGTTCATTGGCAGTCTTGTATTGCTTTCCACTGCTAAACATTGGAAAACCAAGTCATTCAAAAGATTTTCAATTGGGTTTAAA